TATATATATATAATGTGTGTAATCATTAGGGCTGCCTTTTTATTTTAACTTTGAATGGGCTGATGATCATTTTTAGTTTGTTATTTTTGGATGGAGTTCTGCTGTAAAGAAGTGAAATCACATGAGAGAGAGTCACACAACCAAACTGGTAAGTAACATAATAGATACTGTCCCTGACTCCAGGATAGGAATCGGTGTCTTTAGCGGAACAATAGGAGATAGGAAGAAGCGCTCTAATATAAAGTAACAATCATTTTCTCCTGGTTATTCTTCATCCTCTTGCTGCCGTTAAGGTGACTTACAATGGAATTAAGTTATTGTATTAAACTGGAACTGCAGCATTGATGTTTAAGACCCGGCTTCATACTGCAAAGCCATTTACACTTAAAAGTTCTCCAAAATACTTGATTCAGCAGAATAATACCTAGCGGACATTATATAATGAGCCACACAGCAGGGAGTAATACCGTTCTGCTGAGCAAGGAAGGTTCATGAACAATATACAAAATGAGGCAGCAAAATCTCTCTGGTTATGATATAAATACATTTAACACATTCAGGTCTTATCTCTACTGAGAATATGGAAGAGGAACTCTGCATGGGCTGACCATACAATACATGGGGACTGGATACAAAATATATCTGTGCCAGGCTAGTACTATATTTTACTTGATTTTTATTTTGATTCAAATGAACTGCCCGCATGGAATCCCCTTAATAACATATCTGGGGTGACAGCTGATTGCATGGATGAGTGAGTTCCTGGAGGTTGGCTTGTGATAAGTACTCACCTGAATTTTGCCTTCAGCCACCTTCCCTCAAAGAGTTAGGTCAAGTTAATGAGTATCTCACTTTTCAGAACCTCAGATGTAAAACTGAGATTGCATTGATTTTATTTCAATAGTCCTCCAAGAGGACACTTCCAAACCCTCATCAATTACAAAAATGATATCATCAATGTATCCGATCTGAAGGAGATCACATCTCCAAAGACGTGGCCCTCCGCCTCACGGCTGGATTTCCCACAAGACCAACTAAGGCCCGGGCCTCGTGGTAGCAGGGAGTAGAGGGGCAGCAGGGGTGTGCAATTCCTATCTCCCGACGCCCAGGACATGCAGTTTCGGGCACCGGGTGGGTAGTTGTTTTCTACATTTAGCCCTGCTTTGGGCAAGTAAGGCTAAATGTAGAGTGGGGAAGCAGCCGCTTGTTTTGACAAGTGATCTCGGTGATGTCACAGAGATCACTTTTATGCAGCCTGTATACAGGGGGGCGCATTGAGGAACCTGGCATTGGGGCAGCAGAGAGAGAGTAAATCCGGCCCTGCTCCCCCTACCAACCGATAAATAGATTGTCATAGGTGGGAGTGAATTTTACCCCATTGAAGTGCTACATTATGGAGATAATGAACCCCATCAAACATAAAATTATTGTATGTCAACAAAAACTGTACCCCAAATCCCCACCCCCTGTATAGTCACTATAATGGTCTAAGTCAGGGGTAGCCAAACTCCAGCCCTCCAGCTGTGGTGAAACTACAAATCCCATGATGCATTACTCTCTGGGAGTCATGTCTGTGGCTGTGAGAATCTTGCAATGCCTCATGGGATTTGTAGTTCCACCACAGCTGGAGGGCCAGAGTTTGGCTACCCCTGGTCTAAGTGATAACTTATATATCATTAATGTAGCTTGAAAAAAACACTATATCCGATCTAAAGGAGTTGACATCTCCAAAGAAGTGGCACTCCTTTCACAAACTCGTACATAAGTTGGCACAGTTGGGAGCAAATTTTGCTCCCCTCGAAGTGCTACTTTCTGGAGATAATGAGCCCCATCAAGCAAAAACTTGTATGGCAACAAAAGATGTTCCCCAATTCCCCAACCCCTGCATACTCACTATAATATTCTAAGTGATCATTGATATATCATCAATGTATCTTGAAAAAACTCTATGTCCGCTCTGAAGGCATTCATGGCGCTCCTCCCACCAATTCATAAAGAGGTTGACATAGGTAGGAGTGAATTTTGCTCCCATTGAAGTGCTACTTTATGGAATAATGAACCCCATGCCAACAAAAATTGTACCCCAATTCCCCAAGTGATACCTCAAAGTCTTGATACCAAGCCTATGGGAAACATAAGAATATGCAGATGATACATCACACATCCTCTTATATTGTTACAATATTTTTTCATTGTCTGCATTTCCTCTCTGGTCCAGGATGGGTGAAAGGAGCTTCTGTAACCCCCAGGAGCCATTTATAGCTCATTGGACCCTTCTAAAAAAAAAAACGTCATTTCCCTTCCAATTTATTTTTTTTAATTTCAGGCAAATGGATACTCTCAATTTTGTGCATCACTTGTGCATCACCAAAGCTATTTGATCCATTTATCCTATCACTTAGAATCAAAGAAGCAATAATGACCTAATTGTTTTCTCCATTAGAGGTACCGGCATCCCTCATTCGCTCCTAAGAGCATTCCTGTGGCTCCAGAACTGTATCTCTATAGAGAAAACTCCTATATAAAGGCAGATCGCTGATAGAAGCCTCTCACATTCCGCAATGTCATACTTGTTTCGCCTCCAGCCATTGGTGTTAGGTTCCAAAAACTGCAAGAACATTTCTGTTATTTTAAGAGATTTACCAAGAAAATGTAGCTGTGAATAATGAGAAAATTATTGAGTGTCTTAAAATAGAGAAGCCAGATTAATTAGAATTTGATTGCTGCAGTCTTGGACGTAATCATTAAGTACGAGTTGTTTCATTTCCCTCTAAGCAACTTTTGAGTTCTTGACTGATTAGCACTAACAAGTGCACCCATCACCAACTGTGCAGGAGTCGTTTTGTTCACCAAAGTCAAGATCTAGTCAAGTGTAGCTATGAGAAGTACAAGCAGGAGTCAACCACCCTTTGGCTGTCCCAAAAAAAATAAACACTTGGCTCAGCCAACCATCTAAAATGTTTTGTAGGTCAGGGGAGTCTATGATGGTTTACCTTTAGGCAAAGAAAATGAATTTGCCCCAAAAACTTGAACCTCTCTGAATTTTTGTTTTCCCTGTGAGACGTTTTGGCAGTTTCCGGTAGTACCCGTAGACATGAGACTGCAGACTGGCCAATATCACCATATTTTTTGTGGACACTTAGCCATCTGTTTATAAACAAGCCATTCACCCTGCGAATTAGACATGTAAGCTGGTGTCCGAAATTCCAAATACCATTCGGGAGCTCCAGAAAGCAATTTTCCCTGTGAGACGTTTTGGCAGTTTCCGGTAGTACCCGTAGACATGAGACTGCAGACTGGCCAATATCACCATATTTTTTGTGGACACTTAGCCATCTGTTTATAAACAAGCCATTCACCCTGCGAATTAGACATGTAAGCTGGTGTCCGAAATTCCAAATACCATTCGGGAGCTCCAGAAAGCAATATGGGTCTGGGAGCCATATTAAAGCTGAGGTTTACAGAACAGAATAGATTCGGGAGCTCACTGTCAGAAAGCCAAGTTTGGCCCTTGTGCCCGGAATCCTGCATGGGCACCTGCGCATGTGCGTGGGCCTACAAAATTGTGCACCGCCGGGCGCCTCTGCACAGGCGTGCACACACTGGCGTGCGCGCTGACGTGTGCATGTACGTGTTGCAGATTTTCATGCTAAATGGCTATTTAAGGCTGTGACATTCTAGCCTCCAGTGCTGACTGGTCTTCAGCTGTTCCCTGTACCATGAACCCATGGACTTGAGCTGCAAGAGAGGCTTTCCTCATCAACTCAGACTCCTCTAAGGTACGTGGTTCTGACACTCCCGAATGCAATGCTAAAAATTTGGATTCAGACCCAGTCGCATGCATTAGACCGAAAAACACATCTGATTGGCCAGAAAAGTCACATGTCCGATTCAATTTCTTTTTTGAACAAAATTCGGACGGAATCCGAAATTCAGAAACGTAAATTGGGGTTCGGAAATTCGGATGTGTCTGAATGTCCGAATTTCAGAAAATTTATACGAATTATGATTCGGAACGAAATGATCCGCACTTGTCTACCGCAAATATCTTTGAACATTCATTCTCTGTTATAGAGGCAAAAACAAATATTCTTAATATATTTTCTTTTTAGGTTAAGTATACTGGGATGGTCACATGGTCCCTGTGTGTGTTGTAAATCAATGTCAGAGACTAATAGGCAGTTGTGAAAACACCTACAACCCAAGGGGCAATACCAGTTTTAAAGTGACACCAAACTGGAGGGGGTCTACATTTGTTCCCCATGGTCCCTATGTGTTTTGTAAAGTAGTCACCGCTCCAAGCTCACTCCTTTGATGGTCTTCAATCTCAATACAAATTAGTAAACTAAACGTGAGATTGTAGTCCATCACAGGAGTGAACTTAGAGCGGTGACTACTTTACAACACACACAGGGACCATGGGGAACAAAAGTAGCCACCCTCCAGAAGTAAGGACAGTGTCAGCACCAATTCAGAGATGATTGGAGGATCTACTGCCGAGTGATACACAAATAAGGTATATTATTGTTAATTGTTAATAGTTAAGGTACCTGAATGTATTTTTAAGATTTAACTCCTGAGTTTAGTGTCACTTGAATTTTAGAGGTGAGTTTAGTTATCCCTTTAAATATTCAAAATGTAAAAATAAATTTGGCTCCCCCAGCCAGTCCTGGCAGTATATTTCAGTTCTTCTTTGTTACACGGTTAGGCTGATCTCAGGAAACAGTGTCACTGAACTTCCTGTTCGGAACAATGGGACAAATGTCTGGGGAACAGATATAAAAGCCCATTTCCTGCCTGGAGACCAATGTATTCCATGTGTTACCAGAAAAACACTCCCGTCTCTGTTGGTTCAGTCATTTGAATAATGCACCCTGTGCTTGTTGGGAAACATACAAGATCCTCTTCAAACGTCCCAGTTCTAAATGTTTTCTCGATTGTCACAAGTACTGTTCAGTATTTGTGTATATAGCTTATCAGCGCACTTGTGACTTGATGGATGGCTCGTCACTAAAGGTTGGGTTAACGTTTCACTGTGCTTGACATTTTATGATGTCACACGCGTGGATCCACGGGGGGTCAGCTTGTACGAGAACAACATGTAACAATTTTGGCTACACTGACAAGTTTTTTTCTTTGAAATGTTTATCCACGAGGACAATTCCTATCAGGAGCCTCTGCTAGGCACTACGTGCATCTAACAGCATACACAGCATAACTATCATTCAAAATTGAGATAAACATCTTCAGTGTACCTTATATGAGATACCCAAGACCTCAACATGGCACTTAGACCTCATTTACACCTGTGGCTGACTTTTACTACCCCCTGGAAAGCGATCTGCGATGAATCGCTATGCAGAGCACAGTTGAGCAGTGGTTTGCAGGCATTAGGAAGGCAATATTGCCACCTCCTGAATGCTTGCGCTCCAAAGAGGATGGCAAGTGGTTGCAGCACGCTCCCATTGGCTGCAGTGGTCGTGTTTGGAAAGCGGCTCCTCCTGCCAAACATGACATGTTGTATTGGCATGTTGGATATTATATGAGAATTCCGGTATTGCTAGGTCATTTCCGGCAAGTTCCCACCTCAGGGCATGTTGTATAACATTAGCTGCAGCATGTGTACAAAGCAGAGTGGCCACCATGTTAGGTTTTAGGTAGTTGGTCCAGCAGTGGAAGGTGGCAAAAACACAGATTAACCGCTTGTTTTTACCGCCCCTTTGCCGCCTGTGTAAACAAGGTCTTATAGGGACACGTGGATGTACTTGATTGGTGGAAAGCAAAGTCTTGCACATCACATCTGATTGTGGAGCATTACATTTCACCTTAAACAATCCAATATGCGTGCGTCCACGTGCTAAATCGCTTTTACCAGGAACTTTTACAAAAGGAGTGCATGCTTGTTTGTGTGCCGTTTTTGAGCAGGAATCAGTCTGCAGGTAAGTCTCTTACACCAAGCATCCGATATAGCCATGAGTGTTGGATGCTGAAGATTCTGCCTGAGGCCATAGCTTTCGAAGGAAGTGAAGAATGGTTATGTGTGGCAAGCCTCTCCACCTGCCAAACAAGACATGTTGGATATTGAATCAAAATTTTGGTATTAATGGGTCATTTCAGGCAACTTCCCACCTCTGGACACGCTGTATAAAATTAGCCGCAGCATGTGTACAAGACAAAGGAGACTCCGGTTTTAGGTGGTTGGTCCGGGGGAAAGATAGGGGGACGGTAAAAACTCAGATCAACCGCCTGTTTTACCGCCCCTTGCCACATGTTTAAATGAGGTCTAATAGGGGCATGCGGAAGTGCTTGATTGGCCGTTGTAGAGGAATACGAAAACTCACAGGGCACATCTGATGGTGGCGCATAACTATTTTACATAAACTAATATTCAGCAGCACATATAGTGAGAATAAATAAATACAACAGTGAGAATACAAGAGATAGTGATGTGGAATATGACATAATTCTGTTGCCTTGCAGATGTCTTCCTGTAACTTTCCAGGACTCAGAAGACATTGAAAACGGTTCCTTTGTTCTGTATTAAGACAAATGTGCTCCTGCCTGGGCTTCCCCCGCACCTGCGTCCCCATCACTGGACTTTGATCACCCCGGGAGCCTGAAAGACGGACATTCCTGCAGCATGACTCGGTATTGTTTCACCTTGTATAGGAATATTCTCCTCCTGATGTCACCAGGAAACCCCCAGTGAGCAACAAATACACCGAGAAAAAATACAACCTGTAACTACCGGCACCAGATGCTGGTGATTGACAATGCCTTCTGGACAAAAAAAAAAAAAAATTATTTATATATACACTTATTAAAAAACTTATTTTTGACATGGGGAACGAAGTAAAGAGACCCTGTCACTAGCTTCATATATTGCAGATAAAAGCACAGGAACGTATTTTAAAAATGTACTTGCAACATTATTCCTCTCCATAAATTATTTTTATTCACTTGCAATGTGCCTCTGAACTTGCTAGCAGTTTCCCTTTCACAGCACCCTCCGTCCTTGCACGTCACAGTCCTTTCCTCTTCTGGGAGTGCCTAATTAATGTCTGTGCAGGCCTAGCTCCTCTGAGCTCCCCCGTACCTGCCTACATAACCTGTTATGTAGCTTCTGTGGGAGGAGCCAAGGGGAATACTATAGAGCAGGGGTAGGCAAACTTCAACTTTGGAACTACGAATCCCATATGGCATTGCAAGACTCTGACAACCACCGGCGTGACTCCCAGTGGCAGATGCATGATGGGATTTCTTACTTCACCACAGCTGCAGGTTTGCCTACCCCGCTCTCTAGTATTGCCCTTTGCTCCTCCCATGAAAGATACGTAACAGGTTATGTAGTGCCACTTGAATGGCAGCTCTGAGACTGCTGGGGCTGCTAATATCACATTTAGGATGGCACCCAGCAGGGATGCCATCAGGGATTTTGATTACACAAGGGAGGCATTTACAGATCTACATGAGGGAGGCCTATACAGGTCTACACGAGGGAGGCCTATACAGGTCTACACAAGGGAGGCCTATACAGGTCTACACAAGGGAGGCCTATACAGGTCTACTCAAGGGAGGCCTATACAGGTCTACACAAGGGAGGCCTATACAGGTCTACACGAGGGAGGCCTTTACAAGTCTACTTAAGGGAGGCCTATACAGGTCTACTCAAGGGAGGCCTACAGGTCTACTCAAGGGAGGCCTTTACAGGTCTACACAAGGGAGGCCTATACAGGTTTATACAAGGGAGGCCTATACAGGTCTACTCAAGGGAGGCCTTTACAGGTCCACAAAAGGGAGGCCTATACATAGGGTTGCCACATTTTCTTCAAGCGAAACCCGAACGCTGTAGCAACGAGCGGTAATTTTTTGGGGAGAATGAGTTGTGGCTTATTCATATGTAAATAGCACCACCCATTGATATGGAAATATCACAGTTGAGACAGTGGGGGGCCAGTAGCTCCTATCTTATTTTGGTTGCCCCTGTCTGCCTGACATCTTGTGTCTGGGTTTCTGTTGCCGTAAAAACCCAGACACAGCATTCAAAACCCCGAACTGTCCGGGTGAATCCTGGACAGGTGGCAACCCTACCTATACAGGTCTACACAAGGGAGGCCTTTACAGGTCTACACAAGCGAGCCTATACAGGTCTACACAAGGGAGGCCTAAACAGGTCTACGCAAGGGAGGCCTATACAGGTCTACACAAGGGAGGACTTTACAGGTCTACAAGAGGGAGGCCTTTACAGGTAAATAACATGCCTAAAATGCATGAAGTACACATACCAGGGTCTGTTTACAAACAATTTGCAGAGCCATTGGCCCTGCAATTCTCTGTGAATGTTCTTTCTGTGCAAAGAAATGCACAAAACATATATTCTTTTATTTTAGTAGAATGTATTTTCGAATGTCATCTTGTAATACCAAGTCATGGTCACTAGATGGAGCTGAGGATCACAGGAAATAAACACTTACAGCCAATAGATGTAGCTGAGGAGCACAGGAAATAAATACTTATTATGTCCAATAGATGTAGCTGAGGAGCACAGGAAATAAGTACTTTTTATGGCCACTAGATGGAGCTAATGAGGATCGGAAATAAATATTTATATGTCATGCTCCAACTAGTGGCTATCATACGGCATTACAAGAGGGCATTCGAAAATACCCACTGGGACTTATTCATTATATAATTTGAGACTGTTTGCCCCTGTCACTTTTCATTGGAGCAAATTAAAGAAGAATAGACTGTTGTGATCATATATACATACAGAATATACTGTATATATATTGTGTGCAGTAGATGTGGCTAATGGTGGAAAGTTGTGGTTCACATTTTACATCAGCGACCAAAGAAGCATAGCTCCACCCCTGCAGAGCATACCACTAAATTTTTTGAAAGAGGAACACTTTTTAGCACAAAGTATATAGATTAAACCCTCACGTAACGTATATAGGGTGCAGGATGGTGAGTGGGCCTTAACATCCATTTGCCGTGTATATGCGTTGCTGTGTTGACCCGGGTCATACTCAATGGGCATTCCCAGAACTGTGACCTAGTGATCCCTGACAGCCAACAGTCAACTACTGGCGATTGGGAGCTGGTAGGGCAGGTTTCTGATTACATCATCACTGTGCAGCCAATCACGTGAATGAATGAACGGGAGCCTCTCCTACTGGCCTCCCGCATCACAGCCCACTTAAAGGGCCGGCACTCACAAGTTGCAGGGGGTTGAGGACACATCTCCGTCACATTCTGTGTTACATAGTATTTGAGGTTGAATAAAGACACATGTCCATCAAGTCCAACCTATTGTGTGCGTGTGTGTGTAAAGATCCCCGAGTCATCTCGTTTTTAGGAGTACCTGTACCCCTGTATATTACCGTTTCTCAGGAAATCGTCCAAAAGCTTCTTGAACGATTCCACACTATTAGCTGAAATCACTGCTTGTGGCAACGAGTTCCAGACCCTAACCGCGCGAACTGAGAAGAACCCCCTTCGCCCCTTGTGTTTGAATTTATCGCTCATTAAAAATTAAGGTGCAAAAAATAATTGGTTAAACCCCACAGCGCAGGAGGTGAGAGCAAAGTGACAGAGCAATGAGCTCATCACTGTCCAGTCACAGACTTGGGGCGGGTTCGGGATGACCTGGGCTCAGAAAAAGTCAGTTAAATGATGCTGACCATCAGACTAGGGACATCTAATGGGAGAAAAAAGTACTGCATGGAAATCTCATTTAATGGTTGGAAAATCTTTTAATGGTCTATTCATTTTTACTAGATGAGTTACTGATATGGAAGACAAATAAAATAAATAATTAAATAAAAATAAATAACAAATAATTAAAAATAAATAA